TTGGGATGTTAGTCCAGGTCCTCATCAGGCTCTCTGGCATGTGGGCATCAGTGTCAGCTGGCTGAATGTCTGTTCATTTGCTCTATCACTTATGCTAGATTTTGGGGCTTCTACTCACCCTTTTGATCCCTATCAGCCGCTACTGGGTTTCTCAGTGAGGTCTTTTGATTCTGGGGTCAGGACAACTGTACCAATGGGTTGCAGCCTGATCTCTTGCCTCTGACTTTATCAGGACAAAGGCAAATGACAGTGACTTCATTCTGAGTTTTTATTGGGGTTGTGGAAAGTGACTTGCTTTTATCAGGCTCTGCCTGATGACAATATTAGAGGGCTCTGTAGGCTCGCTTGGTGAGGACCGCAATTTTATTTGGGGTTAAGGCCCTTCTTAGGCCATCCTTACACATTCAGTATTCTGTTGATAAGTATATAGAGCAATAACTCTTATTTCCACAGGAGTGCAGCCTTTGCCCAAATACAGTAAAGGTGGACTTTGTGATGACGGACACTATTTCCTAGAGTAGGAGATTCTTTTTCTTTTTTTAATTTTCCCTTTCAGTATTGAAATGAAGAAATAAAAGGACTTCATTTATTGRTGTAATCTTTTGTGTTTGTCCAACCTGTGATTTAAATTTGAAATGAAGATTTCTTATTTCACTTATCTTAAGYTAATAGATCTCTCTTAGAGTATGTGCTAATTTTTTAAAAAAAGTATTTATTTTATTTGTTTATGAACCTTTATTTTATTTATTCATTTATATGTGGTGCTGAGAATCAATCCCAGTGCCTCACACATGCCAGGTAAGCGTTCTACCACTGAGCTACAACCCCAGACCCAAGAGTATGTGCTAATTTTTGTTAGGTTTTCTTTTCATCTAACATGGATAGCTTTTGCCTTTTTACATTTGTATTTACCTGCAAATGCCTGCATTTCCTGTAGTTATTATCTCTAATTTAGTCAGCTTCTGTGCTGGTTCTACATATGGTTCCTATAGTTTCTGAAACTATTCATTCCATATAAAAGTTTCCAGGTTGCTATTTTATTCCTTCCTATGTCAATGTTTAACTTTTTACAAGCTTCCCAGGTGGATGTGTGTGAGGATGGCCTTAGGCCTGAGCCTTAACAACTCCATTTTAAAAACTACAGTTTGAAACCTGCAGTCTCACCAGGCACAACCACAGAGCCCTCCAGTATGACCTCAAACAAGTTACTTCCCCTTCCTATGATAAACAGAGTGAAGCCCCTGGCAGGCTGTCCTGGCCTGGTAAGAGGAAAAGGTGAGAAGATCAGGGGGGAGACCACCAGACCAGATGTGTTAACCCCAGGATAAATGATGTCACTGAGAAATCTGGTGGTAACTGATAAGGATTGAAGGGGGGGGGGTCAAAAGCCTCCAAATTTAGAATAAATAATAGAGCAAATGAACAAATATTCAGCCATTCGATACTGATGCACGAAAGCTGGAGAGCCTGATGAGGACTGGACTGACATCCCAACTCATTTCATCTGCCTGAACCTCTGCATTGTTCTCACCACTTTCAAACTCTACAGCCACATCTTGACCCTGGTGAGAGCTGCAAATTCTCCCTAGGACCACCTCCTAAACCGGCCATCAGCTCCACTCCAGAAACCTGCCTTGGTTCTGGACCTGATCACTGTGGTCTGAGTGAGTGTGCATCTGCTGGATTTAGAGCTTAAAAGGCTTGAGACTTTTGATCTGATACTTGAACTTAGCATGCAGAGGGAATGTCTGTCATTAKCCTGTCATGGTTAAGTGTGTTTGCAGTGCTTAGAATTAATTAATCTAGAATTGTTTGCTGTGAATTGATTATGTCTATTGCAGTGCCTAGCATTAAGGATTATTGTTTTCTTGAGTAAGAACTTATAGAGTGAAATTGTATTGAGTGATTTGAGTGAATAAAGCATTGAAAAGGGCAGAAGCATATGGATATTCTTTATTTCTCCCCCTGGACTGCATAAGTCGTACCTTTTGCTCATCGTGACAATGTGCTTCTGCACTAAYTCAAATTATTAAGGGTTTTCTCTCTACCCCCTGTACTGAGGATTGAATCCAAGGCCTCTCCCATGATAGGCAAGTCCTCTAACATTGAGCCATATCCCAAGTCCTTACTAGGTGTTTTATTTTTAAAGATTTGTTCATATTTTAATTAATTTATTTAGTTGTTTATGGACCTTTATTTGTTTATTTATTTATATGCGGTGCTGAGAATCAAACCCAGTGCCTCACACATGCTAGGTAAGCACTCTACAACTATGACTAGCTATGACTCTAGACCTTACTGTTTTTTTTAAATTCTTTTTTTAAATTTATATATGATGGCGGAATGTATTACAATTCTTATTACACATATAGAGCACAATTTTTTATATCTCTGGTTGTATACAAAGTATATTCACACCCATTTGTATCTTTATACATGCACATTGGATAATAATGATCATCACATTCCACCATCATTATAACCCAATGCCCCCTCCCTTCCCTTCCAAGAACCCTGCCCTATCTAGAGTTCATCTATTCCTCCCACACTCCCTCTCCCTATCCCATTTTGAATCAGCCTCCTTATATCAGAGAAAACATTTGACATTTGGTTTCTTGGGATTGGCTAACTTTACTTAGCATTATCTTCTCTAACCCCATCCATTTACCTGCAAATGCCATGATTTTATTCTCTTTTATTGCTGAGTAATATTTCATTGTATATATAGTGGCCACTMAAAAGCTTTTTCCCTTTGCCTTCCAAAATAACAGGGACCTTGGATCAGAATCATGTGCACAAAGAGTGATGTTTACTTGAGGCGTGAATATTAAAAGAGTATTTGTATAACAATTATTAAGATAGTTATGATAGAATAGTCAATTTAGGTTCAAAGGAAAAATGATGTGTTGATTTTAAGCATGTGAGAGTTCTGTGTCAGAATTGTTTTAGAGATTCTAAAGTTACCCTTGTTTGTGACTTTAAAGACACAGATTTTTATATGTATATTTTAATGTCTTTCAAAATTGTTTCCAATTCTTCAGGCTCACCCAGTGATCCTACCTTCATCCTGGGCTGCGCTCCTTGCAATGTGATCTGCTCCATTATTTTCCAGAATCGTTTTGATTAYAAAGATAAGAATTTTCTTAACTTGATGGGRAAATTTAATGAAAACTTCAAGATTTTGAATTCCCCATGGATGCAGGTGAGACCAAGATCATCTTTTCTTAACAACCATTTGTGTTTATTTCTCTCACAAGTCCAAAGTTCTACATCAGTGTCCATTGTGTTCACTATTCAAACATTTCTCTCATACCTCAGTTTGTAGATTATTGTTTGGAAAGCA